GGCCACGGCGGGATTCGAACCTACGACCTTTGGAATACTAACCCAATGCTCTTCCAACTGAGCTACGCGGTCAGGACGGTTCGAGTATGCGATATTTCGGAACTGAGTCTAGTTCCTTCGATATCAGTGTTTTCATGATTATTAGATTACACTGATATCGAAGGAACTAGACTCAGTTCCGAAATATCGCATACTTGAACCGTCCTGACCGCGTTGCTCAGTTGGAAGAGCATTGGGCTAGTATTCCAAAGGTCGTAGGTTCGAATCCCGCCGTGGCCATGCATATTTTTCAAGCCTGCCCGGTGTGGATATACACTCAGAGTAACATCACACAAACATCTTATTCACCTGAGTACATTACACCAACACAGCAGATTTCATGATTATTAGATTACACTGATATCGAAGGAACTAGACTCAGTTCCGAAATATCGCATACTCGAACCGTCCTGACCGCGTAGCTCAGTTGGAAGAGCATTGAGCATTGAGCATTTTTGGTTAAGTATGCCATCACTCGATATATCGGTATCAATTAAGAAAATAACAATAGTTTATATTATAAATACGGCAACAGTAACTTCTAAAATTAGCCCTAATTACTCTAATTCTTTACTCCTGTCAATCAAAAATTCAAAATTAACATTCTGACCAATCAGAATGGTCCGGCACCCAGCTGCCGGGGAGAACTCAGAATGTGTAGTTTTTGGGCAGGCGGTATTTCTAGCTTCCCATTCTCTCGTGCCCGCGAATACCGCCTGCTACGCAGGCTACTCTTTCAGAATCACACAGTCCTATTTTAGTGAATTGGCGTCGGTTACAGAGGTAGTTTCGGATCCACAACAACAAATTTCCAGAGATGCCTGCCCGCTGTAACTTTAACAGTAGTTGGCGATGAGGGACAGAGTCAAAAGCCTTCTGAAAGTCGATGAAGACAACTCCCACCACTCTATTGCTGTCGACTGCTTTCCTCCATATCTCTGTCCTATGTAACAGCAGTGCTTCCGTTGAACTGTTTTTCCTGTATGCCCACTGATTTGGATTTAGTAAACCAGGATTGATATCAATATGGTTTACTAAGGTTTTGTGTACTTCCTTCTCCATTAATTTGCTTGGAGTGCACAGCATGGATAATGGTCTATAATTATCTCTGTCTGTCTCATCATTTTTTTATGTGCTGCAGCTATTCTTGCCACCTTCCACAAACTGGGTAGAGCAGCAGTCCTTGCACTTGTTCGGAAAATATATGTCAATGATGGTGCGATTTCTTCGGCAGCTGCTCTCAGCAAAATCGGTGGCAAGTCATCTGGGCCAGTCGCTTTATGTGTATTGAGCCTTAACAAGTTCTCTTTTACATTCTCTTCCTGAATTCAATTCATAACGGTTGGGGATATTCGATCAATGAGCTCTACTGTTGGCACGTAGTGGTTGTTTAAGAGACCTGCTAACTTTTCTGCTGTAGTTGCGAAATGCTTATTCAATTTATTTGCTATCTCTCTATCATTTGTGACCAATGCGCCAGAATCTGACTTGATCGCACGAATGGTCTTCATATATACAATGGTATATATTGTAAAATATAAAGACAGCAAATTATGTGACAACATTGTTGAAGAAGTAAAGGTTATGATTGCTCTATTGTATATTGTTCGACACGTTGTGATTGTGAAACATGTGTGCTAAACTTTGTGCCCGAGGTGTTAATGCAAAAGCATATCATGGTGACATGTCTATAAGTCTCTAAAAGAAGACTGTTTTCAAAGATGGAAATCTGGTGACATTAAGTGCCTGGTTTCCACAAAAGCATTTGGGATTGGAGTAGATAAGCCTGACGTAAGAGCTGTTATACACATGTCAATGCCAAGCAGCATGGAAGTCTACTACCAAGAAACAGGTCGGGGAGGTAGCATCTCTACTTCCTTGCAGGTGCATACTTTTTTTTCAGTCCATTAGATGCTGTTAAGCATATCCAGGCATTATTCAGGCAAAATCGTAATATACCCACTGTGTTGAATAAGAGATATAGTCATTTTCAAGAGTTCTTTTATTTCTGTTTCCAATATGGTTTGTGCAGAAGAAGAATCATCATGGAATATTTTAACAGTGGCTCTGATTTGTGCAGTGAAATGAAATGTGATCAGTGTCAGCAAGGTTTTGAAACGTCAATGGATGACATTTCTGAATTATCATGTAAGATTATAGTATGTTTGCTGAGTATGAAAAGATAGAATAACAGAAAGTTTACACTAAAACATCTGGTCAATGTCATCACTGGAAAGTGTAACAAAGATGTAAAGAAGTATAATTATGATAATGCAGAGCACTTTGGCTGTTGCCAAGGAAGTATATCCCATGGAGAATATATTTTACATATATTGGTATATAAAGATATATTAAGGCAATTTCCCCCAGATACTGTTGCAAAAAACCAAAACACCTTGTACATTGACCTTGGACCAAAGTTTATATATGTTCAAAATAGGGAACTTATCAGTTACGTACAATAACGTTATGGTTAAGAAGTAAAAAAGAATTATCCTATATTATGTTACAGTTAAATATTGTACATCTAAAATGTCATTGGAATAACCAGCCAGGGTTGCTTTCAGGGATTTTTAGGTCCGCATAATTGTTCCCACCCCCGCCCTGGGCCATAAACACTTTTTTTCTACCAAAACGAACCCAACAAAAATCCTGAAAAAAACTCCTGACAACCGTTTAAATTAAAGTGCATGTGACACGAGTACTATTATTTCAATTTTTTTAATGTGTAAATGAGTGAATATATCCGATAATTTATGACGTCAAGTTGGTTGCTCTTCAAATTGGTTGAAATTCACTGATAAAACTGATGATACATTGGAGAAAAAGTGCGCTGATATCTACAGTTTTTAGAGTTAATATACTTATCAGTGTAAGTTAAACTTGCAACCATTGTGATGTCATATTTTCTCTCGTACATATGAAAAAAATAGAAATATATCGAGAACAAATCATGTGAACAAGAAACAGCAAACAAATTTATACTATAGTTTCAATAGTTCTTTCATTCAACACAGTAATAATTTTCGTGTCATATGTATTTTAAGAAAAACTATATACAGTAGATACAGTATTGTCTATTTTTCCAAGGGAAATAGTCTGTACAGTATTTCTTTGATATTTTTTTGAATAAATGCCTCTCCTCTGGATTTCACACCTGTGCATTCTTCCGCTACATTCTTTGTACTATCTGTAGGTACAAACATCTTGTTATGATCTAACACTGGGATTTCTTCTCTGTCTTGCGAAATAAACCACCTTGTTGGATAGCAAACCATGCTATTTTTAGGCGGTCTGGCGTGGAATCCGGAACTACATTCTGTACCCGACTGTGAACATCATAACCTTTCTTGTAGACGTCCTTAATATGGGCCAACAATTCTAAATTCATGTTGACTTTCCTCATCATAGATAATGTACTGTGGTGCTTTGCAAAAAGCTTAAGAGGACGTACCATATATGTCTCTACAAACTCATCCAATGCCAGGTTATGACCGAGTCGTCCTGTGTATGAAATAGACATGTTTTTTCGGTACATTTCGCGAATTGCATAGGGCCACAATGACGTGAAATTAGTTGTATGGGCTATAGCCTCATCTCTATAATTCTTTTTATTTAACGCACAAAACAAAACGTGTGATGGCAGCCAACATGCTTCTCTTGTTTTCGCATTGCCGTAACGAACAGATTCATGGAATGCCAGCAAGAGTGGGCCATATGTTGTAATGAAATTACTGTGATATGCCGCGACGTTATCGCCCTGACTAACATCTTCTAGGTACACTTTAATTTTTCAAGCAATACGTCATTCACGTTGCCACATCTTGATTGAATTTCAGATAGTGTTTCATTGTCTGGAAACAAATCGGATGATACAAATGAAATAACAGCTGCAAAACAAAGTCCCCAGAAGTAGTCGTTCAATGCATCCATGTTCCTTTCGTAGTTTCCTTCCTTAAATATGTCAACAAATGATTTTGGCGTTACCTTAAGACGTCCTAGTACTTGTCTGATAGTATAGAAGAAGCCCCTAGGCCCGCTGATACGAGAAAGGCATTCCATCACATAGGCTTGTGTATGGAAGTCTCCAGGAACTTCCTTGAAAGAGCCGAACTCATCGGGTGCACGATTGCGAACACCTCTCAAAGTAGATGCTGATTTCACATCTCCAACTGTTAGGTTAAAATGTGATCGAAAATCACCTCTTGATGACAGTGATGCATTTTCTTCACTGCATTTTACGTCTGTTGACTGCACCGAAGACGACAGTTCTTTCGACAAGCCAAGTTCCTCGCGCACTGTTTTCATCGCATTCGTTTCGTATAATGACTGATTTTCCAGAATTTGTATTATCGATCTCATGATTTCTAATTTGCATTGCTATCTGAAGAGGACTTGGTATATTTCCTTGAAAGGTTCCTGTTGTTCTTGCTCCGTACTTGACAAGAATCTTTACTATATCTGGTTGGTTATTGTTTACTGCTATCATGACTGGCGTAATCCCACATCCTTCTGAAACATTAACATTTGAACCAGCCAGAATAAGGCTTTCAACTAAACAAACACATTTGTCTTCAACAGCAAGGTGTAGAGAAGAACATCCATTGTCATCTGTAAGATCAACCCACAGTCCATTGTTTGACTGAAGATGCAACACTCTGTCTTTCTTTTTTGTGAATGAGAGTATATCATTTTTCAGTCTCTTCATGACGTCTTTGGCATTCTTGGACACCTGTTTCATGCGTTGTTTAAAAGAGCCTCCCTGACAGGAATCAACAGGCTTAGGGTCAACAGTAATATTATCCGTTGTTTCAAAATCATCAGGTTCGCTTTCATCTAATTGGTTTCGCAGTTTCTCCATATCTTTCGCATGTCAATCCATTTCTTCATAAAACTTATAACGTTCACGTGCGGCGTTTATGTCAATTTTTTTGTTGTGCTCCTTGTACGTGAGATGGTCATCTGTTTTGCAAATTGTTATATCGAGATCTTTTGCAAATTCGCGCAATACCGATGCAGTTCCAGTTGTGAGTGATTCATCTTCAATTGAGAGTGGTAGAACCATGACGTTCGTTTGTTTGGTAGATTCCGGGTATTCTTGATCAATTCCAACACACTCGATCAAGTAGTAACTCTCAGAAGTTTCTTCAGAACCATCCTCACTATCTCTTTTGTATAGTTGCTCTTCGACATAGCTGTCAAAATTACTTTCAGTCATTTCTTTAAATTCAGGGAACGTGACGTCTAGTTCATGTATGATCATATGAAGGGCTTCAATCAAATAAGCGTCGTATCTATGAAATAAAACCTACGATGAAATAAAATAAACATAATGGGTTATTTTTTATTGAGCTTTACAATATTTGTTATTAGAAATTGATGTAGTAGTAATATTAATATTTGCCGAAACATTTGTATAATTTAATAAATATATGTCATGAAATGTTACCGATCTCTTTGTAGTTCTCCATTTTATGGGCGTTATTGAAAACAGTAATTAACACCTTCTATAAATCTAGGTTTCTGTATCGAGGTCAAAAGCGTGAATGTATAATGGCGGCCCAATCTAGTTTCGTGGTACTATCGGTTGTAGAGGTGAAATATTGAAAAAAATGCTAAATATAACAGTACTAATTATTACTCACACATTCGCGCACAAGAAATACAATGGCAATGCGGTAAAGATTTAGGACGCGCCGCTTTGTTCAACTATGTGACAACAGTTGTTTACCTAAAAAAAAATCTTCAGCTTTTAAATCTTTTATTGGTCGTTGTTCAGTGAGATCCATACTTTTCGCCGACATTCCATCAATGCCAGTAATATCTGGTTTCATAACTGCCCTTACTGTGAAGTTCCACATCGTTGGTGGTACTTTTCGCTTTAGTCTTTCATACCTTGGTCTTCCATTGTGAATGTTCATATTGTCGAAAAGAAACATTACAGGGCAGCCATCTGGATAACGTAAACTGACTCTGTCTTTATAATTGTGTAAAGACTTTCCAAGGAATCCGCGACTATATGTAAAAGTATAAAAGAGTTTTTATATAAGCTTACTTAAATAAACATTATAAATATAGTTACGGGAATATAAGGCCATAAGGGCGCTGGAATTTCATGCCTGCATGAAAACTCTGGTATATATTGGTTGTTAATGTTATGCAATTGCAAATAGTCAGGCAGATCGATAGAGGCTCAAAATTATGGAAAACTTACTATATCGTGGGACAATTCCATTTTGCCTTCATATTGTGCCCTGAAGACTAGTAAGTACGTTTCTGTATGTTGGCCGCGTTAAAATTTCTTGCGGGCTCCTGCCGACACGTTTTTCTTCGAATTTTGTTTAAACTCTATTACAGTTAAAAAATGTGAAATTTCTGCTGATACATTTCTAATACAAATGAATTGCATCAATAGAAAGCTAACAAAAAACTACATATAAGACATTTATTATTATTATTATTATTACATTTGTCACAAATATTTACAATGACACTGATAAACAATATACATAACAAGCTACAAGACAACACACGTGACTGGAATGTGGAACAGGACTTACGTCCCAATATTAACCTCACCCCATATATACTTCATAGGCACTTTCTCGGTGTGAGAACAAACGAAATCTTAACACTAATTTGAACTTGATCATTATTTATATTCTAACTGATTTACGGTTGCTCTTACACCGAGCTAGTGAGTGAACTTTACTGAACTAAACTAAATACTTAGTTCTTATATTACAAACATTTTCTTCACAAAACTAAATATTAGCTACGGTTATTAGGAAGTTTGTATGATTTTGACTTGATACTATATAAGTTATTTTAACGAGTTTTAAACGAACATAAACTACTGGATTTCTTAATTTCAGTTGGTAGGCTGTTCCAAAGTTTTGCTGATCTAATAAAGTAAGACTTTTGAAAGTATTCCTGATTATGTTTTATAATGAGGTGGAAGTTATTTTCGTCATAGTTGTGAGATTGATAGCCGGGGTTGTAAGTGCATAAATATTTGTTTATATCCATTGTTGTGAGGTGGTTTTTGGATTTGAACAGCAGTATCAGATCAGAAATTTCTCTTCGGAATTCCAGTGGTAGAAGATTTGTTTTCTGCAACCGGTCCACGTACGACATGTTGTCAGGATAATTCAAGATGAATTTTGCGGCCCGCCGTTGAACATTCTTGATGAGCAAACGATTCTTAATGGTGTAAGGCGACCACACGCAGCTTGCGTATTCTAGCTTGGGTCTTACCAGCGCACAATACACAATCCTTCTTTTGTTGGTATTCTTCACTTCTTTACAAATCCTTTTGATGAGACCAAGTGTTTTATTAGCCTTGGATACAATGCTTTCTATATGCTTCGACCAGGATAAGTTGTTGGATATGAGCACACCAAGGTCCTTGAAGGTCGACACTTGTTCGAGCATGTTCTCATTGATTGAATACTGTGTTCGCGTAAGTGCTCTTTTTCTTCAGATGTGCATGGTCTTACATTTTGTTGCGTTTAGTTCTATTTGATTATCAGAAGTCCAGTTTTTATAATGGAAAGATCAAGTTGAAGTAAAGTAGAAGATGTGGGGAATAAAAGTGGTCGGTAAAGCTTTGAATCGTCCTCAAATAACGCAAGTGTGGAATTATTTTCGATGTAGGTTGGAACGTTGTTACAGTAAACAAGAAATAGCAAGGGTCCGAGTATAGAACCTTGTGGCACACCTGATGTTACGGGAAGCCATTCAGAGCAAACACCGTGAAGAACGACTCTTTGTTGTCTATCTGTGAGGTAGCTTTGGAACCAAGATAATAGAGATCCCCTGATTCCCAAAGTCTCAAGCTTTCGCAAAAGAAGATGATGTGGTACTTTGTCAAATGCCTTTGAAAATTCCAGGTATATGGCATCAACTTCATTCCCACTTGCGACTGATTCCAGAATTTCATGATATACTTCAAGTAGCTGTGTGGTTGTGGATTTTCCTCCAAGATTCAATGACATGTTAAATATTTCACATAACGAAGGTGCAATAACGTCCGCAAGTTCGATCAGCAGTCTGTTCGGAATGTTATCTGGACCGCACGCCTTTCGTGAATTTAGTTTGCGAAGAACTCCAACAACTTCAATTTCCGAGAGTTGGATACTGGAAAGCTCGGGCATTGATGACGTTGAGGGTAAGGGAGATTTATTAAATGATTCCAAGCTCTTAGGGTTGAAGACAGAATGAAAGAAGGTATTTAAAGTATTTGCCATCTCAAATTTGTCCGTTGTAAATGAGTCTCTCACCCAAAATCGTCGGGGATTCTCATACAAGGACTCTGTAAGCTTGATGTTGTATTGTTTCTTTTTCTTATTGATCAGTTGCTTTGTTAAACGCTTTAAGTTTTTGTGTTTCTCTAGGTTAGCTGGGCTTGGAAATTTTTTATGCTTTCTTTTTTGTATGTTTTTCTTCTTAATTTGCCTGAGTAGTTCCTTATCTATCCACGGGTGGTCATGCACACTCTTGATGCAGTATTTTGGTATGTATCAAAATACTGATCATACATTTAAATGGTTAGTTGGGATTTTCAAGTGGTTTTCGAGTTATTGCTGTTTTAAATGTAAAAAATAAGCCAAAATCTTGCAAAAATTTCTCGGTACCAGTTTGAAAATACGCATTCAACAGCTCATAAGACAAAACTAAAGAAGAACTTGAAAATCCCGGGTAACCGTTTAAATAAGTAATTTGTATTAGAAATGTATAAAAAATTTCACATTTTTTAACTGTAATAGAGTTTAATACAAAATTCGAAGAATGTCCCACGATATAGTAAGTTTTTCCTTCTATCTGCCCGACTAAAATATTTTCTTTAACATTCCAATTTGTACAGTTACATTAGTTGTAGTTAGTCCGGGACACACGGTTTTCAGTGGCTAACTTTAACTACTATCTTACATAACTGATCTCAGATAGTTTTTCTGCGCAACACTCCCGTTACCAGTCATGATAATGAACTTACTAGAATTCGTAGGATTTACAAAGGCCGAATGGCTCTAGTATGGTCAGCATAGCCTTTCCCGCACCGTGAGAAAACAACAACAGACCAAAAATAACAGAAAATGAGCTTTGTGTTCTTTCGCTCTTCACATCGTCCATAGCCAGAATAGCATGTAAAGCGGCTTTAAATTTGTATTTTGAATCCTTCTTGCCACTATTTCGTTCAGTTGATGCCCCACAGCTAGAGTTTCGACGATGCTTGTCAACAACTGGCAGTTTTCCTTCACATTTGACGCTACACCTTCAAAAAAAACTTGGAACAAGTATTATGTCCTCTCCGGAAGTTTCTCCGAAGTTTTCAAGGTCAATGAAGTACATTTGACGCAACAATTCCATTTCTTTATCTAGTATTTTAATCTCTTTCACGGACAACGCTGCATCATGAGTATTACGGGTTTTTAATAGACTTCGTTCATCTTTCTTCTTTGATAGTTCTGTTTTCAGAAATTTGTTTTCCTCTATGAGCTTGTTGATCGTATTTTTGTCCACGACTTTCTCTTCTGAAGGCACAAAAATTGTATCTTTAAACATAATGTTCTTATAAAAATATCTGTATCAAGTTAATTTATTAAGTAAATTTAACATTTATGTTTAACAGACGACCAGTAATTAACCTACTGTATATATTATAGAGTATATAGAGTATAGGCAAAAAATATAGTTTCCAAATCCAGCGCCATATCGAGAAAAACGCACAAATGATATTTTACAAAATATATAATTGCACCAGGCTTCGACTGCAAGTGTTTTCAAATTGCAAAAGTCAGATTTTATATATAACGTACTAGAGGGCAAAATTTACAATCAATTACTTTTCCATGTATATTATCACTATGGTTAATGATCGATTTTGTATGAAAACCATATATACAAAATTGTTCAAACTATATATAAAAGGATACACACGTTTCCTTAAATTAAATCCGCCTTGTTATGAACCAAGTCTTTCGGATACAAAGGAAACATCACTACCAAAGACATCTTGCAATGATCTTAACAACACGGGTCTTCTTATTTGCATGTCCGTGCATGGGACTTTTTCTTTGAACGGCAGATAATGCTTGCACCACTGGCAGGGTAACTCCAGTTTTATAAATGAATATTTCCGGTACTATTTGAAGAATAATTTCTATAAAATTTGAGAATAAAAATGCCTAATGGCTGCGTGTAATGTACAAGCAAAATTGATTTCATTACATTACATTGAGCAGCTATGCATTATGGAACTATACCATGCACAGATTACAGTACTAGTAGGGTAACTACCACAGACTACACGAGGTACAATCACCGGTAGTAAAAAGTTAGAGTTGATTTCTAGTACAAATGCATTGTGATCGGTTACGATACTCGCTATCAATTGATTCATAGATAACGAGTAGCGAAATAGCGATCTTTTCGGCACGATTTTTTCACGAATTTATTACGAATAAATTATTAAAAACATTTGACAAAATGTTTTTTCTCACTGATTTCCCAATTAGATTATATTCATTCTCAATTTCCATGAGATGATAGTTGATTCAGGCTTCGCTCTCATCAACTATCACCTAATAAAAATATTGGGTTCCTAAACTAATTCTTAATTTTTATGGCTGCAGAGACTATGTGTGTAACTCGTGCCTTTTTTTCGATATTAGTACCTTATAAAAAGCCGTTTTTATGTATGACAAAATCTGTCCAATATAATATAGACAATTTCAATACCTGCATAAACTGTCTATCAAGCCCCAGGAGAAAAAACTTTTCAGATTTTAGGAACCTTTTTAGGAGGGGCAGAGGTATATTGGATACAGGGAACTTAAAATTATTATTACATACTTATTAACAAGTAATAGTATGGTTTCTCATGCAATTTGAAAATACACTCGTGAAAATACACTCGTCCTTCGGATTAGTGCAATTTTGATAATTGATAGTCTTTGACTCGTGCAGGTTTTTTTCCAAATTGCACTCGAAACCATATTTATACAAATATTAAATTATTTATACTTGGAGTAAAGCTCTTGGAACTGAACAAATTTTTCCTTGCTGTAAATGGATTAAGTAATATTTACCATATCAACCGACTCAGGCATCTGACATTTCTAAAAATGTCAACAGACAACAAGACTAAAAATATAAATAATACTTTAATAGGCCTATAAATCATGTATGACCATGTCCATGTATACAAAATAAATATATATATACATCGATTATCACTTTTATTGAGCGTAAGATTTCTTCCAAGCTGTAATTTTGTACTAATGCAGAGGCAAGGCATGTAATCAATTAATAATATGTAATTAAACTGAATGTTTTCGCAAAAAAGTGCGTATAGGAATTTAAATAATGAGACGGAAGCGAGAAGGCCAGGAACTAGGCTTGGTGCACTAAACATTAATGAGGATATAATATCGCGATTAGACAGCTAGCCTTGGTGACCCAGATTGTGTAGAGGGATTGGCAATACGATTTGACGTTTTAAAGAGATATCTTGTAAATATTAGAATTGATGACATCTGCATGCACTTTGGAATTGCTGAATAAGGTTTGCAAAAATTTAAACCAATTTGAGCAGCGGCAGCGCTATTTTGCCATGAATAACTCTGCATTTCCAGAACAAGTTTATGCCGTGGAAAACCTTCGTGGGTCCTTCGTATGATATACACGAGGGGCAATTGAAATTTTTATAGCGAAGTAAGCAGTATGATGGGTGTACGCAAAATAACTTTGGAGCGGTGAATGAGGTCATTTGGCCGGCACGAGTGTGTCAGGTAAGAGTTATTCACATCCTACACGGCCGACACAGTGATTATATATGCAACACGTACTGTATATATAGTGTCTTATCATCAGGATTTAATATGATTGACCGCACATTAAGTTTTATACAGAACTACAGCATAGAATGAGAACGGGAATGCCTAGATATTTACATCTTTCATCTGCACTTTATTTTTACCGTTTGAAGAAAAAGGTTAGCTTAGTAATGCAATATGCTGAGCAGACATAAAAAGCCCATGTCATTGGCAGCAGGGCGGTTGATGGCAGTCAGTCCACTCCAGGAACTTGGCATTTTGGATTAATTCATGAAAACTTGAATTTTATTGAAAACGCATGAAAATTACAGTCCTGTTTTCGTTTAAAGTGCCTACATCACTCGTGGGATCTTTACGGATTTGAAAAGAGCAGAAAAAGTTATTTTAGAAGTTCTTCAACTTTTTTTTATTTAGTTCAATTGTCTCAGAGATATAGGCCCTCAAACATGGCAATTTTGACCATTTTCGGAAAAAATCCGTGGTGCTTGGGGGCCTGGGACTCAGGAACGCGAGCGTAAACAAACACTATAGATTATATAACAAGTTGCCGCTACAACGTACTAAAATGATAATTTTTGCAAGAAAAGTCGGTTTATTTAGCTCAAAATCGTCCTCCAGTACTGACAAAACTTCATATACGGTTGCGCTAAATATAAAATCGTGGTGAAACGTACAAAACGACTTCTAAATCAAATTTGAAAGTGAGGCTTCCTAAATGTCGTCAAGCATTGCCGAGCATGAAAGAGTTGGCATTACTGAAGAATACGTTTGAAAGCTAGAAGAATATAACAGGGATGTAAAGAAATTATTTATAGATGGAACAGGCATAATCGTGTTAGTTCTTGGTAAGTGAATCGAATATTTTCTATTAATTGTAAATATCGTGTGTTAGTCACATTTGGCAAATTAATATTCTGCGACTGCATGTAAACAAACGAAAAATTATGATTTTTAATATGTGTGTATTTTAGATTTAATAGCTTAACTATTTTGAGGTCCTAACTTAATATTTTTATATACTTTGGACATATTCAGTTAGGGCAATGCTAGGTATATAATTACTATCAAAGTTCCTGTTTATTATAGGAATGCAATACTGCAACAGATTTTAATAATAATGCACCTTGCTATAAATGTCAAGGCAAAGCTTGAGCTGCACAGATTGCTGTAACTGTAAGAATATTCTCATATATATTCTTAATGTGTGTCTTGAGTGAGCTGTAACAGATCACTGGTTTGCCTCATGGAGGCAAGTAATACATTATTAAAGTCTAAAGGTATAATTATCTGTACTTTTAGGTCTTTATATCAGTGGCATAATACTTGTGATTCACCATATTAGCTCATGGTTGTAAAAAAGAAGAAATAATACCATTGTGTTTTTCTGTTTACCAAACTATCTGCAGCTTTTA